TGGCGCTGGAGAGGTTACGAAACCCTCGCCTGCTTCCTGAGCGCGGGGGAGCCGCTCACCTTGAACCCCGCCAGGGCCCCGCCCTGCAGGTCCGACTCCACGTTGCCTGGGTCCAGGTACGCGATGCTCATGAGGAAGCCGGGACCGGTGAAAGCCCAGAGTTTCCTGAAGCTGAACCCGGGCTGGGACAAGGCAGCAGGTCAGAGCCGGGAGCTCCGTTCAAAGCCAGGGTCTCCTGATTGCACATCCAGCCCCTGAGCCCGGCGCTGCCCGCACGGATGTGTTTGGCACACGGAGGGCGTTTTTCTGACAGCTTTGGAGAGGGAATGCTGCCCCAGCCTCTCCCTGTTAGCAGCAGTGCTGGAGAGGCAGTGAGCCCCCTCTGACCCATTGGACAGAGGTTTGCAGGGGTGTCCCAGGCCTGTCAGGCACCCATGGGATTTCACTGCTGTCCTCTGCTTTTGCTACCCTAGGGAATACTGTTCCTTCCTCTTCTCTGTTCCACTGCCCGAGACCAGACAAGGATGGGGGGGGGGGGCTGGTGGGGTGCAAGCAGCCTTGGGGAGCCCCACTGGGCTCATCCTGGGTGGCCCAGGAGTGGTGTGTGAGCAGTGGGGTGATCCTTGTGGTGGGGTAGCACCTTGCCCCATTGTCTCAGTTTCTCCTTCTGGAAAACTCTAAGCATGGAAACTCTCATCCTAGGGCTGTGACTTGCCTGAGCTGGGTCTGGGGAGTTGGGGGCACATCCCCAGGGCATGACCAAGACACATATTCCCCACTGCAGTGGCCCTTTGCCTCCCCAGCTCCAGCTCCCTGCAGCACTGTCCCGTTCCCCTGCCCTCCCTGAGACATGGCCATGCAGCACCTACCCCAGTGCCCTTGGGGATGCTGATGAGCTCGTCCAGGTAGGTCTGATCCTGGGTGCCACGGCGCTGTGGGGCCATGGGATCCCCGTTCAGGGACCTGGTGAGGCCTGAGGGGGACAAGGAAGAGGAAGGGAGGTGGCAGCCTGCCAGGGGAATAAGGACACTTGGTGAGCTGGCAGCTCTGGTACCAGCTTCCTTCAGTCCCACCTGACCCTGCCTGATGACCCCCTGAGGGAAAAGCACCAGTTTTCCAGGGAGGGCATGAGGATGGCTATTTGGGATCTATCAAAGGCCACCCAAAGGGATCAGATGCTGCCTCCAGCTCAGGTGTCCCTAAAAGCCCTGGTCTGAGCCCCATCTTCAGCAGTCCAAGGGCCAAGTGCGTTTCTGGGCAGCAGGGACAGGAAAGAGCCCGACTCTAGCTCCTGCTGCTGGATGGGCATAGAGTGAGGACAAGAAGCTGGTGCTGGTCCTAATCCCCCCTTTGCAGCCCACCTGCATCCTGGGAATTGGTTGAATCACATTCCCAGGCTTGAGGAAACAGAGAATGAGGCAGGTGGGGAATCCAGGACGGGCTGGGGGGGATGGTGCTCACTGAAAGATGGAGCACAGCCAGGGGTCCCAGGGTGGAGGGAAGGAGGTCTAGGGGATGAAAGGAGGCACAAAGGGTCCCAAGAAGTGTTGTGAGGCTCACCTGGTTCCAATGATGGGTGGACTGCCATGGGTGGACTTGATCCAGCCACAGTGCTGAGGCTTCCTGATTTCAGCTCTGCGCGCAGTGCCCGCTGCCCTGCCTTTAAAGGAGCCCCCCGCAGTTGTGTCATCCCTCCCCCTCCTCAGGAGGAGAGGAGGAGGATAGGAGAAGGAAGTGCTCCTTCCCTACCCTTATGAGCACACGCAGTCTCAGTTCCCCCCCCTTCCCTCCCCTTTGCCTCACACACGTGCAAACACGAGGCTCCCTCACCGTGGCGTGGGAGCAGCCTGCGTGTCACTGTCCATCACGTGCCAAGGGCTCTGCTGGGGTGACTGTGGGGACATGGGGAGAGGGGACAGTGTCCCACAGGGCGAGAAGGGAGGGCTGTCCCCACGGGAGTAGGGGAAATGCCATACAAGTGGGAGTGAGGAGGAAGCAGGCACGTGTTGCACAAGGAGATTGAAATGCGGCCTTGGCTGCTGGGGAAGCACCCAGCTAGGCGGGCTCTGGGCCACAGGGTGCTCACACCACCCTCTGTGCAGGGACCTTCATGCCAAGGATGGTGTGCCAGCGTTGCAGTGTCAAGCTGTCAAGGGCACCCTTCTGCTAGCCAGGCTGTGTCCCACAGGGAGATGGGCAAGGGGTGTCCCCCAGGAACATGTGGGGTGCTGGCAGGCGCAGGGATGTGAGCCTAGCCCTGCTCCACAGTATGCCCCAGCCACCCCCACCCCCTAAGCGAGGGCTGGAACAGATGGGAGAGGGACAGGGTCCCACCCAGAATGCATGGGGGGCTTGGGCACACAGCTCACTCCACCTGCCCTCCCTGAGCCTCAGTTTCCCCAAAGCAAACAAGGCTGGGCAGGCAGTGCTGGCTGCTTTATTTGCTGTTAGCTGGAGGGGGGCCAGCTGGGGAGCTGGGGAGGGGGCTGGCAGCACCAGTGGAGGCAAAGGGGCTCCCAACGGGCCGCTGGTGGGCAAAGAATTCCGCAGCAAAGGAGATGGTGTCGTCTGGCTGCTGGTGGAGCAATGCCTGTAGGAAGTCAGACAGCAGTGCCCGCACCTCAGGGTGCTGCTGGAGGTAGGCAGCATGGGAGAGTTGCAGCTCCTCCTGCAGTGGGGTGGACAGGATGGGTGGGGTGGGCACAAACACACATTTCCCCCATGGGCACTGTGCCAGGGTGAGGGGGACAGGAGCCCGGGTCCTTTCCCACACTTGAGAGGGTGTGAGGAAGGATGTTTGTCCCCTGCCCCCTCTGTGTGTCTCCTGGGCACACCAGGGGAGACCTTGCTGGAGACTGGCACAGCCCCAGGTCCCCTTGTTCCCATGTCCATCTTACCTTCCTGTCCAGGAAATACGAGTAGAGCTCCATGTCCTCATCCCATTCCAGGGGTTCTTTGGGGAAGGGGAGCTGGGGTGCGAACCTACCTGGCAGCAGAAGGCAGGGCACGGTGTTCCCCCTGGACTGCCAGACAGCGGGGAGGGGCTGCCTGTGCTGGGGGAGCACAAACCTCCCCTGCCCACTACCTGACTTGCTGAGGATGGACTCGTCCTGGAGAAGCATCAGCACCGGGGCGCCGATCTGCATCAGCTGAGCCAGATGCCTGGGAGGGGAAGCAGAGCCCTTGGCGTTCCCACCGTGGGTCCCTGCAGCCTGGCAGGGCTGG